GCAGGCCGGGAAATAGTACATAAACTCTGTAATCCTTAAAGAAAACGTTCATTTGAAAATATTGAAACAAACATCAGGCATTGTGAAACAAGCGCATTTATGACTATGGGCATGCTTTTGAGAAGAAAAGACTGCTCTGCAGAACACAATTTCTGTTTAGTAAACATGCTCCTCAATACATCATTGTTTGATTACGTCATCGTACCTTACATAATATTGACTGAGAACCAACTGACGCCGTTATGTCTGAAAGTCCACTCAACGAACACGAGATATCAACGACTCGACGTTTATATCTTCTCTCAGACTTAATCGCCGCATGGCTTACGGAATGCTGGATGTGAACGACGTTAATATGGTGCCATCAATGCCAAGGTGACCTTTACACACTCTGCTGGAAACCTCCAACTCTGAAACCTACAACTCGCTCCCCCCATTATCGCAGGCGTTTAGTCAGAAAAATTAGAGGGTTTAGGTCTTGAAAGGGGTAGGGCTGGGAACGGCATCAAAAGGGCTTTAAGATGGTTATTTTGGCCAAAGCCCCACGCAAATGTCGAACGTGCCTTTAAAAGGTATATTCCATACTTCTAAAGCTATTTCGTGACAAAATTGTGAATTCAAAGCTCGAAGGAAATCAATACAGCAAATAATAATGTATTCAGAAGCATATCGATAAAATAGGAAGCTTTTGTTGTCCGAATCTGTCTTTTCCACTTAAAAGTATAGTGATAGCTATATGTACGTACATTTCAACAAATACGGTGCTTGCTTTGCTATCTTCAAATGTGGAACATTCCATTTCACATACTCACGTGTCTCAGTGTGCTTGTGTGTGTGTGGCGGGTACGGGGTATTTAACCCATACCGTTTTTTAAGAATAACTCCAAACGGCACATTGCAGCAGTGGCAAGCAGTGCATAGTTGTCGGTAGATGATGAGCTCATTCTGACGTGCAATAAACAAGACCTGCATTTTTAGATCACCGGCATGTGCGAGTCAAACACAAATTATGGTTATACACATTTGGAAGCCTTATGACAGCTTCCAAGATAACGCGTCGACAGTTTCAGTCGAAGACATTGAACTTAAGGATCGTTTCCTAGATAATAATGGAATTTAAATCAGCAATGCAACTATTTCCGTAGGGTCTGATATCAATGTCAAATCCAAGTAACAGCGCTTTGATTCGAAAACTCATTCTCCTGGGCGCGTTTGCCTTCCATTTCGAACTTCTCGGTCCGCGTCAATGGATTTGCTATGTTGACTTTTCGTAGTTCTGTTAAGGCAACTGGTCTAAAATGACCTTCACCAACCCTTTACTTGGAAGGTAGCTATTTACGTTCAACTACATTCAAATATAAAAATGGCCACGGAAGATACGTGTCGTTTTGAAATTCAGAGGAGACCAGTTGAGGTCGCTGATCTAAAATGAACCATATGTTTTTTTTTTTCGAAACGGCAATAGCATTACAGTTGGAGGTGTGAGGGCTTTCAAAGGGTGCCGCTATGGCCGATGGCTGTTGCCTCGGACTCCACCTGGAAGGGCCCGGGTTCAAATCCCGCTTGAACCATGATCCCTGGGAGCTGATGTAGTCAACACAGTCGCTGGCGCATCATGACTGCGATGCGGCGACGTACGTTGTGCTGTTTTTGTCAAAGAAAATAAAATTCAGTGATATACCTAAATCCCTTCAGTGTCTGAGCTGCACGCCCGCGAAGATGTGCACACTATTTCGTACAGAATATTTCAAGGATTTTTAGGCATCCGTGACGCTATAATAACATCATTCAGATTGTCATTTCACTGGCTATGCAGCGTTCAATGACAGAAAAAATAGCCGTTGAGTCGTTTATATCTGGCAGTCGTAGACATGATCTTCAGATGTAACAGCCATCAGTTGGCTTTCAACCAATGTTGCAGAAGAAATTCACGATTCTAACATGAATTACATTTCGTGCTGCATAGCACATGTTATACATTCGTCCTGGTTTTTGAGGGAGCATGGCTTGTAATGGAATGGCTTAAGAATAGCGTAGTTAACGATGTGTAGATATAAGTGATCATTCTAAACTTAGGGATAAAAACGCAACAACACCACAAAATCGGGCAAAACAGCGAGCACGTAATCACGTGATAATATTTCGTTCAGCAGACACTTCCAGCCTATGCTGTCATTTCTAGGAAGATTACATAACTACAAGTGAGTGTTGTAATAGTAATGCTCCATGACCCAATCCAACAATGACGCACTGAGCAGCATATCTAATAAAAAGATACATTTTTGTTTGTCTAGACCAGTCTTTCCATTTGAAGGGAATCCTCCGCATTTGTATGGTGTTTTGAACTTAACTAGCCATCTTGAGGACCTTTTGATGCAGTTCACGTCCATGTCCTTTTTAAGACCCAAAAACGCTCTGGTTCCTGGGTTACAAGTCCGCAAAAGTGCGAAACGGTCTATTGGGAGCCTATTTCGAAGTCGCATTGGCATTAATGACGTCATAGAAACGTCATGCGATCGCGGTCATACTACAGGCTGTTTTCTGCTTACGGTCATTTTCTGCTTATAGTATCAGCATGGCCACTGATACATGTGCAAAAGCGAAGGTGCGCACTTATGATACAATGCAAGGAAGATGATTGGCTGTTAGCAAGATTACGCAGCTGAATTCGTGTCGCGAACGTAAGCGTGGGCACTTTCGGGTTATGTGGCACTCGTCGTGAACGTCGTTTTTCGTTTTTCGTCGTCGTTTTTCCTCATTTCTGGGCCAAAGCTCAATGTTATAAAAAAGAACGCCACTGTCTGCAAAAACAATACGACACCCAATAAACGGGTACCCCCTGAATTATCAAAAAAGACACGACGGCAAATCTGTCCTTTTCCCCTGCTGGCGTTTTTTTTTCTTCTGACGTATTTCTTACAGACAGCTCGGTTGGCGCCTTGTGTACCAGAGCGCCGAATCTTGCCTGGGTTTATGGGCTAGCAAGGCATTATAAAACGAGCAAGACATTGCAGTAATTGTAGATATATATTTCACTAAATATTTCACACGTAATGTACAGACATTGCAGATTTACGAGGCACACAAGTTCTTTCAATAAAGCCATGTTGCCGAAATATCAACAAACTATATTTCCATTCTCCACGTTATTTCCAAGTAATAAGACTAACACTCATGTCTTATGTACGTGAATAATGTCCCTTGCTACTACACGGAACAAATTACGTTATTTATTAATAAATTAATATACATTTATTAGTATATATTTGCATTATATATTATTTATAATAACATATAAATTTTAATTAAACTTAATTAATTGTTTCATGGTTAATCATGTACACAAAGCAAGCTTGACTTCAGACTCGTATGATTCAAAAATACTATCGGTTTGGGCGAGGTGGGGCCTGCGCTGTCGCTGTTGGGACCTGCCGCTGCGTGAACACAGCGTTGTCCACAGTGCTAATCTGTGTTAACAGTATTAATCTTCGTACGAAGCGACGCCATAGAAAATAATAGTGCATTGTAGGTGACATATTTAGTACCTATTTTTGCATTTGGGTCATTTCACGACCGATCGACTACTTTCTGTGGTCGATGTGTGTGCGTTAGTGCGTTTCAACACGGCGACTCCTCAAATTTGACGAGGACATGGATGTGGCATAACCCTACGGCCAAAAACACGTGTTGGCAAGTTTGAGAGCAGCACGACACACCGATAAAGTCCCAGTAGCAGATAGTAATAGGCGGTGACGTCACAATCCCATTTTTCATTTTGCTCCCGCGAAAACAGTTTACCAAGCGTGATGTTTGGGAAAAGTGCATCGAAAAGCGTAATACCTGTCTCTGAAACAAGAGTCAATATGACATTTAAGGTCAATGAGGTATAAATAGTGTCCTAGTTTGACAATTGACCCCATTTTCTGTAAAGCGTAGTATCTTCGATTTTATTGGAGCTGACTCGGGTGGCCGGGCGCGATCGGCTCACAACGTCGGGACTGTGACCAAGAGTTTGAAACCACTCGGGTCTCTGGAACAATGCATAATGAAAAGGTCAATTTTGATCGACATTGCGTTCCTGTCATTCACCCTGCGTCACGTAGATAGAGAACCGAGCTATGTTTCGAGGACATTGTATACAGCCACATTTCATCAGTTTCTTAGTCATCGTTTTCAACATGTTATGTCACTGCATTGTCACTGATGTACTCATGTGACTTTTCGTGCTGCAAGTGTTGTCACTGATCATGTCACGTCGGTTGATGTAAATACACAAATTAAAATAAAACAGGCACGTCCAAACCCCCGCTTCTTTGTCCTGCAACGTGGGTTATGCTCCAGTAGCATTCATGCTCATTGATGTAACTGCAAGCTGAGACGTGTTTCCCCTGGGCTGATGAAGACAGTGGCCGCGCGTTCCTTTTGCTGCTGCGCAGCATAGCACTGCCCCGTCTTGCGGATTTCATTAGCTGTCAATGTTACTCGCCCAGAAAATAATTTGGCTTACTTGCTCTTATATTGGGATCGTAAGTTCACCTCTGGAAGGAGACTTCCCTGCTCGTTTCATAAAAACAAAAGTGAAAATTGTCTAAGCAGTCGCGGCGCATATAATATCTGCACCATTTGACGAGTGCGTTCTGGCACCATTATCAACTTACTAGTTTACGGCATTTTTGGAAATACTTAAGGTGCAAAAATTACCATTCAGTCAAGCTAGCCAACACACATCATTTCAAGACACCTGTGATTGACCAAACCATTCATAATTTGGTTTTCACATGTGCTGACTCACACTGTGCTCAACAGCTCACCGGCACGAGTGTTTCACCTCCGGATTCGGTCGGCGCCCAGCGCTTCTGACAATGGTGGCCGTCGCAGTACCGCCAGTGGGGGGATGGAAAAACATGAGCCCGCCTGGCCGTGAGGGAGCAGCGCCGGCCGCCTGGCGGTCCGGCGGCCGGCGCTGCTCATTCCGGCCGTATATTAACAGCCGCCGCTCACACACCAGCACCAGTGAGCTGACCTCTCCCAGACAAACATGAAGCTGGTGAGCGGCGACCGGGTTTAGTGCAACGCCGTTTTGGTTTGCATGGAGTGCCTTGTGTATTTTGCTGCACTATGTCACGATATACCGGATGTGAAAAATTTGCGTTCAGGTTAGCTTATGTAATTTGGCCACGTACATCATAACTTACTTATTACACTTTTAAAGCATTCTTACATTCCCCGTAAATGCATTGCTTTCTTTAAGTATTACGGGACGGTTGCGAAGGAACTGAATATAGCAGTGTCATGAAATATCCATTTACCTGTACGCCTCAGACCGTGTAATGCGCGTTATGATGCTGTTAGATAGATAATAAAAAATTGATCTTGCAATGTCATTGTAACATTTTCAAAGAATTTATACCGTGCTCTCCAAAAGGGAGAAGGGAACTCAGCTTTGACGCCAGCCTCCTTGAGTGAGATTGACGTGGCTGGTGCTACCAAAGCCGTTTCTGTACAGTGGTGAACACAGTGTTGGGGTAGTGTGCCAACGCGGTGAGGGCATGACTGATCAAGCATACAGCTGAACAGCAAATGTGCTGCGTCCTCCGCTTGTTTCATGTGACCCTAAGCCTACTCGGCCTGCCCCATACATATGTCATTTCGGATGATCGGGGGATGGTGGTGGTCGTGTCTGAGTGTCGATTCCGTGCCACAGACCGTGCTGGTTGCGATGGTGGCGGCCGTGATCTGAGTCAAAGTGTCCGTGCCATTCCGAAGATCGTGCTGGTGGCGATGGTGGTGGTGGTGTCTGAGTGTCGATATCGTGCTACAGATCGTGCTGGTGGCGATGGTGGCGGTGGCCGCCGCTCAGGATAGCCTGGCGCCCGTGCCGTACGTGGCTGGCAGCGACAAGGATGCCGAGATCATCAAGAACGATTTCAGCATGGATGAGGCGGGTGGCTTCACGGCCGACATGGAAACGTCCAACTCGATTCAGCAGTCGGCCACCGGCACCAGCTACCCGGGCAACGAGCCCGAGACTGGCAGCTACGTCATGAGCGGTAAGCGAGGCTCCGCTCGAGAAGTGGAGGGGCGCATCACATGCCTGGGTGGGTGGGCCAGAAAGTTCTATCCATTCTCAGGATTGTGCTTTTTGCAACCAGCGGTGTTGCACGCTCTGCAGGATAAGTAACACCATCATACCTAATGGCCGCCCGTTGTTGTTGCAGGCTCTTACTCGTACGTCACGCCCGAGGGCCAGACCATCACCGTGACGTGGACAGCCGACGAGAACGGCTACGTGGCCGAGTCGGACGCCATCCCCAAGCTGCCGGCCGAGCAGCAAGCGGCTATTGATGCCTCTATCGCCGCTGCACCGGCCGAAGACCTCGTCTTGTAGATTTGGGCTGCAAGCCTCGCCTGTCCTCACCGCTCACGTACGTCCGTCTTGATCAGCCATTTCTCGTCTGAGAGAGATCGCCCGGGCATGCCGTGTCCGCGCACTCTCTGTATATGTGCCATCCGTGAACACAAGCAACAGTGAGTGCATATGTCGGGTGTTCGCCAATATACCGTCCTCTTATCTGTGAGACTGGTGTGCGGCCGTGTTCGAAAATCGCCTTTGCCGCGCTACGGCGAACTGGAGCAGGACTCAGTGGCGATATCAGGGCATTGTGAAATTTTCTGTGCGGACGGAGAGCCGAGCCCAAGGATCGCATTGCCTGACGACCATTACAAAGGACATCAGCCACTGCACAATGCTCGTCCTTCCTTCCATTCAAATGCTCGGAAACATTTGTGGTACTTAGACATGGCACGCAAAGACATGAGCTTGTTACAATAAAATTGAAACGCAGCTTGAATAGTTATTACGGGCCAGGTTCCGAGCTGTAAAAAGGACAATTTGTAATATATATATATATATATATATATATATACATATATATATATATGTATATAAATATGGCGTTTCCTTGCCATACGGTTGGGACCTTCGATGCACTCATCTGCAACGTGTTCATAAGAAATGACAACGTTTCAGATTGCTATTGGTGTAAGTCCTGCGATCAGCGGTGAAGTGTTCCAGAGTATTGGAAAATTATCGAGGAGCAACGAATGCATACATTTTGGTCGCACGTGGTGCACAATAATTGCTACATGACCCCAACAGAACTTCAAAAATGGCTCCACAATGTAGCTGGTCTTGATGAATAGGCATATGTAGACTTATGGTGCATCACCATTGACCAAGTGGAGACAACCGATACAGCTTTACGGCCAAAATGCATGCGCTCAGAAATGGGTTTCTGGATTAATTTGGTCTTTATTATGGCGCATTCTGAATGCGGTACATCCATCCGTTTTTGATCAACCCTTTTTTATGCCAGCTGCCCGTCTACCCTTGACCATCTCAGCGCGTGTTTTGTTTCTAAAGCAAATATGTAGGAGGCAATAAAGAGTAACCGGCAAAGGTATGCACAGGCAAGTCTCCCGCGGTGGTAGTGGATTGTCGTGAATAAGCATGTTTCTTTTGCGAGGTTGACACAAAAATCAGTCGTTGAAATCTACAAAATAACATTTATGACTTAAAAAATAAAACTAACCTCTGAAAATATCGTTGCAATAATTTCGCGACAAACTCACAAAAGGTTGCGTCAAACAACTTTAAAACATAATTTTGGGGACCTGGCTGCTTCATAAGTGTTATCAGCACATTTCATAAGTTCTGTGCAGATGCACACGATAGCAGCTATGAAGTTTTTCGTCACTGCTTAGATTTTTGCTTCGCAACTAAGTTCCATTGCCTGTCGTCATATCTGTCGACTGTGAGTGTTCACCGGCGACAGCAGCACTATATGATGCTGGACCGCACGCATATCTTTTTCGTACCCGCATTTCCGAACAACCGCTGTCAGCGTTGCTGGAAACAGTGCTGACTGGAATGGCCTAGCTATTGATGTTGTAGTAAAAATGTTTGATCCTACGAAATATCAGGAACAAGAAACAGATTCATAATACCATTTTGCGTATACATAAGTGTTTTCTGTAGTTCTACAACTAGCTTTCGAGAACAACGAGATACAGTGCGTTGGAGCAGCATAGCTCAGCCCACTAAAACCTACATTGTCTCGCCTATATTAGATGAAAGCAATGGAAATGCAGCGAAACTTCACCAAATATGTATTTTGTGTTTGCTTTTTTCTATCGTTTATATGCATTTTTGTAAGTGGGCGTCACAGGGGCCGTCCAGTGGTCCGATGGGCTTAAGATCGCATTTCGTTGAGAGCCTCGACTTCTCAGGCTCCGAGCAAATAGTAGCCGAGCTAACGAGCTTACGTCCCGCCCCCTTCTCTACCTACCACTTCCACCTTACTCTGCCGTAAAGACATGGCTCCCTACAAAATAGTACGCCATGCTAATAAAAAAATCCCGAGAAATGCAGGCCCCCTTGAAAGCTCTTGGAGGACGCAATATCTTCAAACCCATTCCTAAGTTCTGATTCCCTTTTGCCGCACAGTCCTCAGATACGAAAGGAAAACATGAAGGCCTGGGAACCTAAATGTGCTCTTGTAAGTATATCCAATGTACCCATATAAGGAGAGAATGAGCATGCAATGTGACAATTGATGTGCTCACGTAAGGAGAGAATGGGCTTTTAGACCTATTATCTTCATTTAGTAGTTCAGCCTTCAAAACGTTAACGGTACGGCAGGCTGGTCAATCCTGTGCTCACTACTTTCCATAACAGAGGTTGGCGATATTCGAGGTCTGATGGGAATCTATGACCACTAAAAATTAGAAGTCATTGCACGCGTGCCTGGATATTCGTTCTGAAAGCAACGGGATTATGTTAATTATACAGACGCCGTATATTTCTTGTGTATTCCATGTCTTAACTTGCATAAAGACCGACGTAAAAGAGGAATCCCGGATGATCCCACGAGAATGCCGTCTTGACGGGATCCGAACTGGAGCAGACAGGTCTCGCGCCACATCAGCTGGCACCTCCCATCATTTCTTGAAACCCCGTCGGATGTACTTTTTTCATGACCTACCCATCAAACGAAATGGTGCACTGTACTGGACGTTATTGACTTCTTAGGACACTGGTCCAGTGGTCCGGGCACAATAATGCCGACTTAACACTCGAAGACATCAAATCGTGGACGGTAACATGAACAACGTTATCAGCTTCAGCATGCCATGCAGGTGTATTCAGGTCGACAGAACACACCTTAGCAAACACGAGACGACGACAGTTAAAATGTATTCCGTCTAAATCAGACATAACACGTTCCGTCCAAATGGCTTCTCTCAAACCCAATGAAACAACATTCACAAGCTGTACAAGTGATTTATGCAGCCAAAGAGGATACTGCAACAAGTAAAGCTTACACTTTCCTGTCCTCAGACAAACACGTCATCGCCATGAAACCATCAAATACACCATCAAAAAACCATCATCACACCTGATTGCATCAAGTCATCCCCACTTCCGTAGCCACAAACAAAACAGAGCCTGCGCAACGTTAAATCGATCTTCTTCCCAGGCCTGCGCACAGCAGCAGCCCGAGCCAAGCCGCCACCCGGGACAGGCATGTAGTGAGCGGCTGGGTGCCCACAAGACAAGCATTGTAGTTTCCTGTGGGCACCACCTCTATTCTTCAATGCATGTAAGCACCAGGTATCTTGCACACTTCCCAAACATATTTAGGCTTGAATGAGTGCCATCACCTCCAACTCTGTATTTGGAACGACTAGAATGGCCTAGGACAGCAAAGCCCCACTAAGCCTAAACCCATAGCCAGAGGAATACACTGTAAGGCCCAGAAATTTCCACCACGAGGCATCTGATGTATGTGCAATGACCACAGAACTGAAATGAGAGACAACAATCTGCATAAGAACATTTTCATGGTGCGTTGTCGGTTTAACAACCCAACTCGCCGTTCCATGACATCACCTTGACATGGCATGTTCTGCGACCCAGCGCTCGATTTTGCTCGACGCAATCCTGCAAACTAAGCGGCGCTGCGGCGCAACGATGGCCAGATCCCGCTGGTGCGGGTGGTTATCCCTTCCGGCCTTCGGAGGTCGACCAGCGAGCACACGCTGGGGTCCACGAAGTGGACAGGCCTTCCGCCTCTCAGAAATTAGCAGAGCTAGCAACAACAAAGTCGCGAGTCGGTAGCATTTATGTGAATTAACTTATGTCAAATGTTCAGACCACTGGGTCATGATCTTTATGTCAGATAAGTTTAAGCAAGGTCAGACTCCGGAAAAGCGTTTGTGGTGTCCTCAGAGCTTCTCATGCAGCCGCTTTTGACCGAGGAGCCTCTCCTACATGAAAGGGCACTGGCCTTTATGGCAGTTCGGTGGCCTATTTGACTTGAAAAGACTGGGGTGACCCAAAGAACTTTCGAGATTGGTTTTATCTTTCCAATTCAAATACGCGTCAAGATCTACCAGGATTATGCGCTAAGCTGCATTATACTAAAAACAACAGATTTATTGGAGTCTTTTTACGTCAGTGATCCCCGCTGACCTTCAAGAAATGTAAACATCACGATATCATCATGGTTTGCTGACGTCACTGGGACCATGAGATTCTACACGTCAAATCTACCACCTAAAACAAGTTCCCTGTAAAAAAGAGATTTGGTTTTGACCTGGGTTTGACCTTAAGCCCTAACCTGAAAAACCATTGGCATAATCGCACTTCTAACATCAAGTGCCAGCTTGTCTGTGAAATCAACTCATAGTTGTCAGGTTTAGCTTACCATTCCATTCTCGCATCAGATTAAATGATTCGTAAGGAATTGCTTTTGCTGACAGCCATGGCCTGACTGACCTGCCATAGGTCAACGGCCAAATAATTGGCCATTCAATTCCCGACAGTGTACAAAGTTTAGCACAGTTGCCTCGCACCATTCGGAAGATATTTTGGGAAAACTTCCGGAGAGCGTCAAATTGACCTCCCCACCCGAGAGTGCGTTAAAAAGTGGTTTATATTGTCTTCCTATCCATTGTGACTTGATGCACAAATTCTGAACGTCAGCGCATAGCTGTATTTTAAGGCATAGCAAGGAGAAACTCAGAGACATTGCAACAAAATTATTAACCACCTTTGTACTGCTTCCTTGAGATGACCGGTTTCATGCGTCTTGCATCGTTTTGTCTACGTGGTAGCTGTGCAAGGTTCACTCGCTAGGCACCGCAAAAGGCCTTTTTGTTGGTATGAGACCCGTAGTGACCGTAATGGGTGGATGATGACGCGATTTTTTTGTAAGTGACCTATCTGCTCTCCGTAGGAAACGTGCGTGCTCACACACGCACGCATATTATACATGCATATATATGTATATATAGCAGTATACATATATATATATAACACATATATATATATATGTATATATATACATATATATATACATATGTATATATAGATCAATATATATATATATATATATATATATATATACATATTCCTCTTCTTCAAGACCTCGAACTCGAACACCTTCGCATGCCCGCTTAACTTATGTTTCAAAGTAGACTTCCCTTCCAATGCAATAAAAAGGGCAAATTGAAAAACATCCTCTTTTAACACTTGTAATTGTCTCCGCTCCGTATCACCAGCTCGCCCTGGGTCGGGTATCTCAGCTGGCCGTGCGGCGGTGCATCCTCTGTGCGTCGTGCAGCGAGCGGCGGTGCTTCGGTGCGGAGCTGCCCGCGTCTGACTGGAGACGCCTTGAGGAGTGGTGGTGGGGAGGGGGAGGGGGCATCGATGCGTGCGGTAGCCCTGATCACGCAGCCGATCCGGTCGGCCGTATATAAACGGCCGCCGTTCACAGAGCGCCACCAGTGAGCATCCCTCTCGCAGACAAACATGAAGCTGGTAAGCGGTGACTGCCTGCTGTGAAACGCCTGCTGTGACGTGCTGTGCTTTGAGCCCCTCGCAGACGCAGTCGTGTCGACGTTAGCGTTTCACAAGGACGGTGCTTATTGGCTGGCTTGGGGATTTGGCTAGTTGATCATAAATCATAATTGTAACTCACCCTTTAAAGCGCCTTCAAATTAATCGTCTTAGACAGCCCAATATTGAGCGTTGTGCTACGAATTATTGCATGTGGGATGACCTGTACTGCTGTGCTCCTCGTCAAATGTACCTGACAACTAAGATCTGGCGAAAGCCAGTGACTATCGGCAAATCATAAGGGAGCATATGACAAGAATTCCACCCGAATCCACACTTTTCGCAATCAGGTTCTAAACAAGACGCCCCCTGAATGTCGCCTGCGGCGCGATAAAACGCAGCAAGTCCATGGTAGCGTCCCAAATAATGCTGTTAACGCATATTCAGGCAAGCAAAAGACAATTTTCGGAAAATGAATGGGGCTACTCTCAGGCAGTATGAACTTGGATCGCGTTGCTGCATGCCCGGCAGTTTTAAGCACGGCAGGCAAATTTTTTTTCTAGAGGGAAAACAGCTGCTAAAGTGTGATCGTTACAGAGGAATTGGCGTGAAATTATTTTTTCTCTGCCATTTCAGCTATCAACTAAAGTATGTTTCCTCAATATGAAGCGCAATCGTTGTCCCCGGCACGTGAGGACGGCTGATAAATGCGAATCCACGGTGATGGCTATGCAAAACTTTCAACTCACCCAGTCACATTTCTGTTTCCTATTTAATTAAAGAAATGTGTGGATCACGTTAGTTAAGCCTGCACTTCCATGGGCCCCTCTTCTGCTGCATGTTCGTATTCCCAAACAAGCTGTTAAAGCATTCCACAAGAAAGTAGTAAAATTATTGTTGGAGCTTTTGCTTATCTAAACGTAATGTTGTACCTCACTTTCACTTCTTTGCATTCCGCGTTTGCACGCATTAAGTGAGAAAAACCTGCATCATTTTACCAGATTGCACGTGCTGGACACCAGGCATATTTTGAATTAACAGCTGGCACGTTGCATGACTGGTACACATGTCAAACAAAGCGTTGCCAACATTCCTTTTGTGCATATCTGGATATTCGCATCGTGGTAAAAGTGGCGTTCGTGTCTGGGTGTCGATGTCGTGCCACAGATCGTGCTGATGGAGATGGTGGTGATGGTGATGGTGATGGTGATGGTGATGGTGATGGTGATGGTGATGGTGATGGATGGTGATGGTGATGGATGGTGATGGTGATGGTGATGGTGTGGCGGTAGCTGTGGTGGTGATCTGAGTCTGGGTGGCGATGCCGTCCCGCAGATCGTGCTGATGGCGACGGTGGTGATCGTAACGCGAGTGGCCGTGTCCGTTAAGTGTCCGTGCCGCACCACAGAACGTACTGGTGGCGATGGTGGTTGTCGTGTCTGAGTGTCGACATCGTGCTACAGATCGTGCTGGTGGCGATGGTGGCGGTGGCCGCCGCTCAGGAGGACCTGGCGCCCGTGCCGTACGTGGCTGGCAGCGACAGGGATGCCGAGATTATCAAGAACGAATTCAGCATGGATGAGGCGGGTGGCTTCATAGCCGACATGGAAACGTCCAACTCGATTCAGCAGTCGGCCACCGGCACCAGCTACCCGGGCAGCGAGCCCGAGACTGGCAGCTACGCCATGAGCGGTAAGCGAGGCTGAAAAGGGGTAAAGGGGCACACCACATGCCTGGGTGGGTGGGCCAGAAAGTTCTATCCGTTCTCAGGATTGTGCTTCTTGCAACCAGCAGTGTTGCACGCTCTGCAGGATAAATAACGCCATCATACCTAATGGTCGCCTGGTGTCGTTGCAGGCTCCTACTCGTACGTCTCGCCCGAGGGCCGGACCATCACCGTGACGTGGACGGCCGACGAGAACGGCTACGTGGCCGAGTCGGACGCCATCCCCCAGTTGTCGGCCGGGCAGCAGGCGGCTATTGATGCCTCCGTCGCCGCTGCACCGGCCGATGATTTCGTCTTGTAGATTTGGGCTGCAAGCCTCGCCTCTCCTCACCGCTCACCTACGTCCGTCTTGACCAGGAAGTCCTCGTCTGGGAGAGATCGCCCGGGCGCGCCGTGTCCGCGCACTCTCTGTATATATGTCATCCGTGAACACAAGCAACAGTGAGTGCATATGTCGGGTGTTCGCCAATATACCGTCCTCTTATCTGCGAAACTCGCCTGCGGCCTTGTTCGGAAGTCGTCTTCGCCGTGCAATGGTGACCGGGGGTTGGCTCAGTGGCGATATCAGAGCGCTGTGAAGTGCTCGGTGCGGATGGAGAGCCGTGGCCAAGCATCACATTGCGTGATGATCATTACCAAGGATATCAGTCAAGCACAATGCTCATCCTTCCTTCCATTCACATGCGCGGAAACATTTGTGCCTATGGCGCGCAAAGACATGAGCTTGTTACAATTCGATTGAAACACCTTGAATTAACATTACGGGCCAGTTTCCACACTGTCAAAAAGACACTTCATAATCATTATATGGCGGTGCCTTGCTATACCGTATGGACCTCACGATGCACTCATCTCCATCATTTTCATAAGAAATGACGATGCGCCGTGTATTTGTATTGGTCTAAGTCCTGTGGTCGGCGGTGGGCTTTTCCACATTGTTGAAAAGAGGAGCAACGAATGGGCTCATTTTGGTCTCACATGGTGCACCATAATTACTACATGACCTTAACAGAACTTCAAGAATGGTTTATCAATGCATCTGGTCTAAATGCGTAGGCAGATGCAGACTGATGATACATCATCATCGGCCAAGTGGAGACGAAACATACAGCTTAAAAACCGAAATGCCAGCGCCCAGAAACCGGGCCTCTTGATGGATTTGATCTTAATTATGAATTTGATGCAAACATTTTTAACATGCCTGTCTGGCATTTTGCCAAATCGCACCCAAATTTGCTGTACTCTATAGGACATCCATTACGCGTGTTTCGACACAGACAACGTGTTCCTAGCTTTTCTGCTTTCGAAGCACCGGTAGTTTTTTAGGGCTCTGAGCGTCGTTCTACGGCCTGAGCGCGCAGGCGGACGGCAATCGACCATCAATACGCATCATAGCATCGACAGTGAAACAGGGCGGGGGTTAAAACGGTGATACGATTCCAGCTCGCGGCGGAACTGCCAGATTACGACGCGGGAGCGGCGCCCTTGACCTGGCATGTTCACTTGACCTTGCTTTTGCTTGAATTGATTTGACTAACTAAAGATTGGGTACATGGCGATAGTGTGCAGTCCTAAAGTTCTCGCTCAGTGCCAAGTCAAGTAAAACTGAGCTGTCGGTTTGTTCTCCGACGACTGCTAAAAAAATCCAAGAAAAGTATCGTGTTATATCACACATATCCACTGACATGCATATATGTATGTACGTATGTATATATGTGTAGTTATTGCAAATGTGCGTCAAGACCTACGCTGGGCTGCATAATCCTAAAAAAACAGCAGATTTATTAAAGTAATTTTACGTCAGTGCTCTCCGCTGACCTTCACGCAATGTAAACACCCGATGTCACTATGGTTTGCTGACGTCCCTGGGACCATGACACTGGTTATATGCGTCAAATCTTGCACGTAAAACAAGTGCTCCTGTAAAATAACGATTTGGTTTTTGACATGGGTCTGACCTTAAACCATGGAATGAAAAACCATTAACACACGCTCGAGTGGGGGTCAAATTGACCACCCCGAAGGTGTTTCAGAATGGTTTCCGAACGGTTTCAGAATGGTTTCCGAAATTTCAGAATGGTTTCCGAATTTGTTGCGGCGTAGCCGCAACAAATTTTGCACAGCTATAGACAGTTGAATATCGGATTGTTTGACACAACAAATTTAGATGCACCTGGTAAGGTCGGTGACCTATGGCAGGTCAAAATCAGGCCATGGTTTCAGGAAAGACAGTTTTTGGTGACTCGTTCAATCTGGTACAACAACGGAGTGTTTGACAAAGCCATACATCTCTGAGATGCTTTCTTAGACACCACAAATATCGAATGAGCAAATAACGCTGACCTAAGGTCAGATATGAAGGTCAGGCCAAGGTCAAAACCTACCTGATTTATTACTCTAGGGCTTGCTGTATGGGATAGTTTGTGGTGTTCATTTGGAATTTATTGACAGCACGAACCGCATTGCACATTTTGCATTAACTCCTTAGAGGTCAGAGCACGTCACTGACTTAAGGTGACCCGGGTCGACATTTTCTTTTAGGAACATACTGCCTAGCGTAATCTTTGTCGCTTATTCAAATGCAAAGCTCAGAGCAATCTTGTATGACTTTGGTCACCATGACCTTCAAGAGGTCAAGAAAGGTCAGTGACCTCCAATGGGTTTTTGGCCTTTTGCTTAGAAACAGTTGCCTATGTTCTGGGGGCACTTAAGTGACCCACCTGGAATTTGACATTGTTTGACCTTATTTGACCTGAATGACCTGACATAGGAAGCCCAAACATTGACCCAAGCGAATTCATATACAGGTCAAGACACTCGGTAAATTCGGTGTCCCTAGCTTTCCTAGTTCTCAAGATCTCAGGGGATCAAATTGACCCCCTCCCCCCCACCCGAGCGAAGGGTATCTGGCCGGCCACCCAGGCGCGTGATAAAATGGTTGCACTTCGAAATTCAAATGTCAACCTGTCTACGAAATCAACTCAGAGTTGCCAGGCTAAGCCTATCACTCCGTTCTCACATCAGATCAAACGATTCCTAAGGAATCGCTTTTCTGACAGCCATGATCTGACTTTGACCTGCCATAGATCAACGGCCCAATAAATCGACCATCCATTGCTGACAGTATGCAAGGTTTAGCACAGCTACTTCGCGCCATTCGGCAGATATTTGGGAAGCCTACCAAAGGCGTCAAATTCCCCTCTCCGCCCGAGAGTGGTGTGAACAAAGCGAGTTCCGTTGCCCTCCTATCCTTTGTGACTTAATGCGCAAATCCTGAACGTCAACGCATAGCTGTAGTCTATCTAAGCTTATCGAGGAGAAATGAGAGACATTGCAACAAAACTAGTAACTACCTTTGCGTCAGTTCCTTCAGGTGGTCGGTTTCATGTGTCCATGCACTGTTTTGTCTACGTGGCAGCTTGCAAGTCGCACTCGTTAGGCGCCGCAAAAAGCGTTTTACTGCTATGACACCCATAGTGGCAGTAATGAGTGCATAATAACGTAATTTTTCGTAAGTGACCTATCTCGTCTCCGAAGGAAACGTGCGCACGCACGCACACACGCACGCACACACGCACGCACACACCACAACATACACACCACACACACACACACATACACACACACACACACACACACACACACACACACCACACACACACACACACACACACACACACACACACACACACACACACACACACACACACACACACACACACACACACACACACACACACACACACACACACATATATATATATATATATATATATATATATATATATATATATATATATATATATATTATATATACAGACATCCTCTCCTCTTCTCTCTCCCACTCTATTTCTCTTTCTCTCTTTCTCTCTCTCTCTCCCCCCCCCTCTCTCTCTCTCTCTCTCTCTCTCTCTCTCTCTCTC